GGGGGGGGGGGGGGGGGGGCGGGGGGGGGGGGGGGAGGGAATCAACTCATCATAAATCTTTTGTGCATTCTTCACCACCACTAGTTGTGACATTGCAATTAAAAATATTGTCACCTTGCCATGTCCAAACGATGTCTTTCAATGCAGGCCTAATGTCCTCTTCACAAAACTTGATATATTCCAATGTGTCGCCGGAGGACTTCGAGAACTCGACCATTGTGACCTCAGGCGCCACCTTGAAAACCTCGGCCGTCACTGACAACCGCCCTTTCCGACCCTCATTTGATCCTAATAACCTTAATTTCGAGTCCCTTCTTGCAACCTTGAAATTGAATCTTTTTGCCGCCATTTCAATCTTTGCTATCATGACCTTGGCTGAACACCTTGACGTGAACATTGATCCGGCCTTCCTCTTATCCTCGAACATGGCCGACAAGTCAAATCCCGTCGACATGGATGAAATGATTTGGAAGGCATTCAAAAGGGCTGGTGAAGATGGAGACTTCTTAATGGTTTCGTGCATAAATTTTTCCTCTTCATCAAATTTTTCGAATATCGATTCTTGCATTGAAAATGCATTAGGCCTCTTTAAGCCTTTCCTAAACCAAGGAACTCGCATTATAGCAGGAATCTTGATCCTTCTTTCAGGATCAGAGACCAATAATTTCGACACTAATCGTCTTGATTCTGTCGAAAACCATGAAGGAAACTCGTAATCCGACTTTATAATTTTTCTATACATATGCATTAGGTTATCATCCTGAAAAGGAAGAAACCCTGCTAGAAGAACATACAATATGACTCCACATGACCAAATATCAGCCTTTGCTCCATCATATCCTTTCTTCCTCATCACCTCCGGCGCTATATAGGCCGGAGTTCCACACTGCGTGTGTAGAAGGCCATCGTTACGCAGATGCTCAGGCAAGGCCGACAGGCCAAAATCAGAAATCTTTAAGTCTCCATTCTCATCCACGAGGAGGTTTTCCGGCTTGAGATCACGGTGATAAACACCGCGGCTATGGCAAAAGTCCACCGCGCTTATCAACTGTTGGAAGTACTTCCGGGCAACGTCTTCCTTCAGTCTCCCTTTCGCTACTTTGGCGAAAAGTTCACCTCCTCGTACGTATTCCATTACAAAGTAAATCTTGGTTTTGGTCGCCATGACTTCTTTGAGCTCGACGATATTTGGATGTCGAACAAGTCGCATTACAGAGATTTCTCTCTTGATTTGCTCCATCATCCATTCAGTTTTTACCTGATCTTTCTTGATAACCTTAATTGCGACACATTCACCTGTAATTAATTGTTTTCCATAGTAAACTTTGGCGAAGGTACCTTTGCCTAATAACCTTCCCATCTCATACTTATCAAACAATAGTTTTTTCCCCTCCATTAATTATTTAGTAAGAGTTTCTTTACCTGAAAATCTGCTAAGAAAATAACATAAAAAAAAAAAACACACACACACACAGAGAAAATAGACAACCTTAAAACTTCAATTCTCTTCCCACTTCTGGCTATATTCTGAAGTCGTTGCCTGTGCATAGAATCTGTGGAGTGGTAGGTATATATAAAACTTCAAAGTCATAGGAGTATTGCCATTTTTATTTTTTTTATGTGATCTTGTGGGGCCTAGTGAGTCAGCATATAAGGGTGTCTAAATCAAATAATGTAAAAATATGGTTTCTGAATTAGAAATTTTCACAATTTTTTTTAGATAATGAGACAAACATGGAGATCACTATTTAGGTTTCATTTCCTCCATTGGGAACAGTACATGGCTAGGATTTTTATTTTTTTATTCTTTTTTGTGTAGTTTCAAATAATTAATATGTTTCAGATTTATTTGGGATGATTGTGTTTTGGATCAAATTTTAAAATCAAAAGTTTTACAATAGTTATTTATCAATAAAACTTTAAATCGATTGCCGTGTCCCTAAATTCCATCACAAAAGTTAGACTCAAAACGGAAAATTCCATTGTTACAAATTTACATGCCGAAATCAGGAATGCAAATATGAAAAATTTGTGGAATAATATTGTATATTTGACGATACATTTCGTACCTTTCTAAAAAATCGATCCAGTTTTATAGGTCTAGTCTTCCACCGTCATGATTTTTCAACAAAAAAATGCGTCGAAGTTATCGCAAAAATTCATCAATAATACATTTCATCGATATGTACTTTTAGTATGTTTTTGGTAGCGATCTCGACGTTGTCTCCCCTCCCACACACGAATCAATCCCTCTCGTTATACATTTTGTGGGAAAAAAGTCAATTGAGAAAATGTTGTCATACATCATTAATTGCAACATTTTTGTATTTAAAAATTGTCGACCAAGAAAAGTTGTATGTGAAATGATGCTGATATTAGGTGGCAAGTATTATTTCTGGGCATTAGTATTGGATAACATGACGTGTCGCGCGTCTTCTACATATGTCTCTTTTTGGATGAAGAGAAATGTAGAATAGAGGGTTCTAAATTATCCATGCTTATTAACCTCATTTTAAATTATATTTTTAAAAAAAAATTTCTATCCTCTTTCCCATAAAAGGATTAAGGCTTCATTCTTAGATCCTTTTTTTTTAAAAAAAAGGGCTAATTCCGATGAGTGAAAATTGGACATAGTCAATTCGGTACATAACTCCACATTCTTTGTCAGTGTCGTGGTTGTGTCAAGTTAGCTACAAATTACATTTTAATGTGAATTGTTTTAGATATGACACATATTGATTTAATGTTGTCTAGTGGTCTAGTTTACCGCCTGTCATTTTGGACAACAATCAACTTGGTCGGGGTTATTCCCCTTGTACGGGGAAATTTTGTACAAGGGTGTACATGTTCTGTGCTGGCAACATCTGTGTGGTTGAAATTATTATTATTATTATTATTATTATTATTATTATTATTATTATTATTATTATTATTATTATGACAATGCCTAATGGAATAATGTCATGTCTTCCTATGAATCAATTTGGCAAAATTGCATGGTTCACTTGCTTGTCCATAGTTATGAATTACCCAAATCCACATAGAGGAGCTAAAAATTGTCTCGATGTCTAGACATGGTCTAAGATGTTTTGTGAATAAATCCATAGACATTTTTATATAAGTTCAAGAAAAAATAAAATACTTTTTCTTTAATTAAATGAAACAAAAAGATATTTCTTGCATTATCTATTCATTTATCCACCTCCCAAATAGACAAAAATGAATATACTTTTAAGTTTTATCTTCAATTGAATGAAAAAAAAAAAAAAATGACATTTCTCCGAGAATCACAAGATCCGCCCAGACTTTATTTAAATTGGAGTTAATTTAATTAATAGAAAAAAGATGGCCATAAACTTTGACTTTTAAATAAAATATGAATTTAGTTAATTACATGGATTTTTTATTTTTTTTTTGGCTTTTTTAACTAATTGTTCATACTTTTAATTTATTTTTTCTAGAATATGTAGATGAACGTGTGGATGATGACGACGATTAGCATAACTTGTGGGACAAGTTATATTAACTGTATAGTTTGACGGTGCAATTTGATTTATCACTTTTAACCATTCAAATGAAAGCCAATATCGCAAATGTTAATTAATTGTGTTTAGGAAAAACCATAGAAAAACTGCTTCATTGTCTGGTTAAAGATGTGCCAAACGGAATTCATTTGATTCTTTAACTTCCAAAGAGTTTGAACTTTGAAGACAAAACGAAAACAACAATTAATTTAGAAAAATATATTTATATTGCTTTGAACACACAAGTACGCTTCGATCATGTGTGGTAAGTAAGTTTCCTTTCAAAAGCTTTTTGTTGAATCGTTTATCTTTATTGAACAAGTCGACATACCAATAATCAAGTTTTTAATCAACGCACGAAGATCGTTACATCGAAAAGTAGCTCTAGCGACTCTCTGATACATCAATATATATTAATCATATATTGATTTTAATCTTGTTCCACGTTGATCAAGATATCAACATGGCTCTATCTTCATTATTAACATAATTTCCTTATTTTTCAACTGAGGGAAGTTGAAAGGAATAGTAAATGTTGTTGGAATTTTGTATCGGAAATTGGTTGTGACCAATTTAAATTATTTAAACGGAATTCGTTATTTGGTGAATGAGAAATTAATCCAAATTTAAGCCGCTTAAACACTTGAAATTGTTGAAAAATCGTGTAGAATATTGTAGAATATTCTAGAAAATGTGTGATAAAAAAATGTGTCTTTTCATATGGAAGATCATGACCTTTGGAGATCATGACTTTTGGTATGATTACTCTCCAATAATTATAAATCTTAATTTCAAGAGATGTGTCTCTTGATATAGTTGTGTCTTTTGACAAACATTTCCAATTACTATATATATATATATATCCTCATGTGTTTGGATTGAGTACAATTCAAAGTGATAGTTCCATATCATTCCATTCCATGCTTACACTTTAGTTTGCATAAAACACTTGCATCAAAATCATTTTTATGGTAGAGAGAGAATTCCGTTCGAGTTCGTTGGTCTAAGCCATTTGGAGTGCTCCTATGGTTTGACGTGATCGTTGTATCTTGGGAGATGATTGCTAGAAACCTTTAGCACCGATATGGGGCAAATTCATTTTAAGGACAAAGTATCAAACACTTGCCTCGCCCGATCGCATCACTTGCATCTCATCTTTCTTTTTCCAATTTAATTCTAATTTAGTATTTTGATTTCGGAAAGTAACTATATTCTTTTGATTTCAGAATATGGTTAAATTATTTATATGTTTTATGAAAAGGTTTAAATTAAAGAATGACAAGCATTCAAGATTGGAAAGCGATGAATCCATATTCATATTTTCGAAGTCGGTAATTCACTAATTTGTTTTCTCAAATCAGATTTCGGTAAATCGAATGATATTTCGGTTTGACCCATATTAACGTCATGTTCTTGATAAATATAATATGCACATTATCGATGTAAAATCTCCTACAAATATATCTAAGATGTGATACATTATCTACATTGTATTAGAAAAGGACAAAGAATTAAAATAAGTTTTGTCACAATCATGCCAACAAACCCTTAAAAAAAATGAATAAGAGCATAAGTTTCAAGTTTGCACATTATTGCAACACATATTTTAATTAAGTAGCTCGTGAGTTGGCAGAATAAAAATTGAAGTGTTCAACCTACACTTATTTATAAGTTAAAAAGAATTTCCCCACCTATGAAAGCATGTTAAGATCAAGTAGAGTACATTATTTGGACAAGGAAACGTAAAGATGTTAAAAGATGAGGAAATTACATAACATAAAACCATACATTTAAATTTAGAAATTCAAAAATCAGATCTAAACTTTATTTAATCAAAAAGCAGGTATTACATAATAATTATATATTAAATATTTTCACCCAATTCAATTACAAACCCTAATTTTATTTCATTAATCTCACTCTCCCTCCCCATCTTCTTCATCTCCTTCTCATGCCTTCCTCCAATGCCGCTCGATTCGCCATTGTTGGGAAAAACTCTCCATCATCGGACTCAATGGAGAAGTCGATATCGTGGCGTGCCTTCTCGGGACCACCGTCGTCGTGCTTCCCACATAGTAGCAGAGCCCGAGAGTACCGCTACTACATGGAATTGACGGTGGCACCCAAACCAATCAATCTTTCCCATCTGTTGGCACAGCGAGAGCAAAATCTCATGCTAGGACTCCATTTCTAACATGTATTACTACTAATGTCCACATGGTAGCCATCATCTTGAAAATGAATTGTCATAAGCAATATTAATTTCTAAATTATCTAAAGTCAACTGTGAAATTATCCTAGATTCTAGTGAGTTATTGTATGAATATTCCTTGTTCTCATCAGAATTATTCATATGTGACTTGTATTTAGAACATGGTGTAGTATTTGTAGGAGTTTGAGTTTCCAAGGTTGAGATGGAAGAAGAGGGAGATGATGTTTCTAAAGAATTTAGTTCCATTTTTTCAAGTAATCTTGGAATCCAGTTTAGGGATACCGAGTATAGCACTTGAAGGCGCCACCCCTGGCCCAAATCGCAACTGCAGAAGGTGTTGCCACACCGTTACCGCGCACCTCCTCTGCTTTTCCTCTGTTTTGATTTCTTTCTTTGGCCAAATTTGTAGTGCAAGTCCATCCTTTATAGAAAATGTGAAGTTAGATCCCTTGTGGCATAATTGCATATTAGGTCCCGAATTGTAAATTAGGTACTCCAATTTGGTTACATGTGACCAACTATTTAACTGTGACCTTAAAATTCGATAATTTGTGACCAACAAATTTGAAAATATGTGGCTGGTTGATAAATTGTGACCTATATTTTTTTATCCGTGACCAATAA